CTTTCTGCGGGAAAACCCCTCCGCCACGAGAAGGCAGTGAGTAGGACTTCCTCAGCAGAGGCTATTCGAGACGCTTGGTCGTATGGGAGCATTTCATGAAGAGCAAGGGAAGTGACCAGCCTCAACCCCAGACACCCACCCCCGACCATACTGAGGCTTTTGATCATATGGTTTCATTTTGTCCATGCACCGTATTGAAACAGTAGTGTGAGCCAACCAACCAAACCAACTTCGTTCGTTTCAGCATAAGCCTCCGTGAGGCATAAAAACAAGTGATTTTCAATTTTTCAGTTCCACCTTCGTTTATTACGTGTGCGACAAAGAACATTTCACGATTGAACCAACACCTCCGACAATCCCTCTGTGTGTTGAAAGAAGAATAGAAATAAAACACTGGAAACAGGCAACGAATTTCATTGTACTATTCCAGAGACAGGAGACGAAACTTGAACAAATATGAATTGGCAATTTGGTTCAACCATGGCATGAGCTGGTTGGCGCAGTGGTAATACAAACGCCTTCCATGCGATGGGTCCGGAGTTCAAACCCGGATGGGATGATAGATATGCATTACTGATGAGCTGTAATAAGATCGCAACTCGATTTTAATGTTTCCGAGAGTATGGTTGAATCGATGTGTCGAGGATTGTGCGTAAAGGTGAAATCCGAAGGATAGCCGGTCAAATCAATTAATATCAATTATCCCACCCCACTGCTCACAAGTAATTGTGAGTTAAATGCGAATTATTCCAGAGAAGTTCATTCTTCATAAGAAAAAACAACCAGTGCAATGAGACCGCCTAATTGGCTGATCTTTTTTCCCACTTTCCCTCTGTTGGAACCATGATAGATCAAAGTTTGCGTAAACCGTAGGAAGCAACCGTGTTCGACTGTGGGAACAGATCACTATTTGCATCTTGTTCTTTCAGTGATAATTGACTGTCTTTCTCCTCTACCCAAGGTCAAGTCAAGAAAAGCTTTACATACCCACAGGGTGAAGTTTCAGCAATTTACGAACTTGCACATTGAATATAAAAAGCTGCCATGACCAAAAAATAAATTATATAATATAGTATAGAAGGCGACAATTGTCCTACGACGAACCAATAACCGAGCCACATATGGAATTAAAGTGTTTGCAATCCTGTTTATGCTTTTTGGCATGCATATATACAACTGCCTCCGAGCGACCTCTTCTTTACCTAGATTGAAACTTGCCGTCTGCTTGCGGATCGTACCCTCGGGTTAAGCAGAACTGAATGCTATCAGGTGCGTCCCCGGCTTGTCGATAAGGGAATACCTTCACCGAAGAAGGTTAGATGTGAATAAGTTGTGGTGTACTGCAACAAATAATCAGTTGTGAACAAACAGCGGCGGCACTATCAGGGTGTGGTGGGTTTCAGACTGGTCACCTGGTTCCTGTTTAAAAGCCGCATAAGCCCAATGACGGTGTCGTGACAAAGGTTGATGTGACTGGCCTTTTGAAACTAAAGTAATTGATCCCCTCACTTCCTGCTGCCTTGCAGCTCGCATTTGATTGTGCAAAGGCTAGAGGTGCACGCTCAAAATAAAAAACGCCGAATGACACTGGGGACGTCTCTCGCACCAAACTCCCAAGAACTTCATGATCGTGATCATGATCATGTCTGGAACCGGCTTATTCTTTCCGAGGAGCCAGCCGCAGTAAAGTAATTAAAGAAGTACCGTGTCAATATCGTGATCCCATACCAAAAGAACTTGGGTTTTTTATTCGCCATTGGGTGACCGACCTATGAGATACGATTGTCTGTTCCAGTTTTTGTTCTGTTGAGTTTATCTGCATTTGGCTATTCCGTGAAGTGTGGAATCGCTACATATGCAGTGAACAGAGAGCTCACGTGTGATAAAAACACTATAATTTTGATCAAACTCACTAGAAGATGAAAATACTGCTCCACAATTACTGTGATCAGGCGTTTCAGTCGCACAAGGATTGGAAATGTGACTTTTTCTGAAACGGATACGGTAGTGCTTGCAGATGAGATGTGGCCACTCAAAATACTTGTGTGGCTACCACCACTTCCCATGGAGTTCGGTCCCGAAGTGGTTGGATCGTACGGTCCGGGTGATGTGCCGGTTGGTGTGGTACGAAGTTTCAAGCTCGGTGAGAACAGCTTGATCACCAAAGGACAAAGATTTGTTTTAAGTAGATGGGCGAATGCGATACACTGAGGATGACGGAGTGGAGCAACGAAAACAAGGGAAGAGAAACAACAGTCAGAGTGATTATGTTGAATACGGGAAAGAAATTTTGAAGTGCAATAAAATTGTGCACACGGTTTATGATATATAAAACACAGAGAATACAGAGAAACGGGTAATTAGAGGTGTGTAAGATCAGGAGAGAACAACAGCGTTCATAACGGGTTTTTAACCTTTGATCACGGTGTTGCTTATGTTTGTTATATTTTTTGCTGAATAGCACCAACAATTACTTAGACCAACTGACAATCCCAATTGATCTCCGATAGGGGGTCGTCTTGTAGCCCAGTGTCAAACCGCCAGGAGGCCACGAATGATTGAAGTAATCACACATTTTACCAATCTACTGTGCCTCTCTCCTCCAGCTTTGTATATGATTAACACAACCAATTACGTAGAATTGGCAAATGTGCCTTAGGGCGTCAGCGTCAAAAGTAGCGTACGCGAGCGAACACCACCGGGGCCTTCCAGATATGCGTTGATATTTCCTACCTTTTTAAATCCCAACAAATGACTTTCAAATCGAATGGAAGACAAATATCGACTGTTAGTACTTGTTGCCCTGCTACTCAATAAATATGAAACTATCGGCAGATTGCGTTCAGAAGTAGTGGTTTACCATTTAATATCAGCTCAAAATGCGTGGAGAAGGAGGGGAGGAAGGGATGTGATACCATAATAGCGTGGACAGTGTCGATCGAAAGCGCAGTTTAAATGTCTCGCTTTATTTCTTGTTGTACTACGAACCTCAGGGTATTGAACAACAGGTGTTGGAATCCGCGGTCAGAAACACTTGGGTTATGAGAAAAGGCAACCTAAGCTCTCAGAGTTGGCATTTTGAACCGGACGATAGCAAAGCTGATCACCATTAAAGCCGGGTACCGGTGTTGAGTTTGGAACTTTAGAATCCAGATCAAACCAGTCACAGTGGATCAAACCACTTGACTACCACCATCACGTAACACGTAACACTCTTTTCACCACGATCACCAACAACTTTCACGTAGCTCTTCCAACGAAAGGGACAAACCCCGACAAAACTAACGACCCACTAGATAAAAAGCAGAACTGCCCTTATCATGATACATGGAGACCGGAGATGCAGGAAGAACTGAGAAGAACAACGGTCACAACAGACCGAATGTGCGGTGGAGAATTGTCAAATGAGGCAGCAGCACAGGATACGCACGGCTCATCAGAAGGCCCAGATCACAACAGAGTCACTAGTCAATCTAGCTGTTCAGCTAGGCACTTGACTGATAATCCTTACACTTCGCTACTTTCACGCTCTCTCTCCCTCTTGTGATCAGATGAGGGTTTTGCTATAAAGTAGCGATATCTATTTGAAGTTGAGTGCAAGTTACGATGCTGATATTGATAGTAATTTTATCGAACATTGTGATGAACGGTTGACTGAGCGAACTGTTAAACGTTCCAGCGATATAAACATGACATGAAATCAAGTCACAGCACCTGAGTGGTGGTATGGATCGAACCTCGGCTCTAACGGACCAACAGCAAATTATGTTCCAGGACCTAGGTTACCGGTTCTCATTACTCACGTGAGCCCTGGTGACCATGAGGTTCACTTCAACTCTACTAATAACTACACTGGGATGCGTAATTATCAAAAAGGCAGGTATCTGAGTAGTATCTCAACGATTGTGAAATTTTCTTTCCCGAAAATAATCTACTATCATGGTTTTTATAAGAATGCATACCTACTTGTTTGTATTGTATTGTATTTGTATTGATAGCTTAATCATATGCTCTTGTGTTGCCCGTTACTGAATTGGGCAAATCTGATTAGACCGAAATAAAATAAAAATCCAATAGATCGACTAGTTAAGGCTTTCTGGTCGGGTTATTAATGGCCCTTCTATGTCTGTCTCCAACTATTATTCACCTCAGGGAATAGGGCTTACTAAGTTCTGAATATCTGAATGTTGTAAAATTAATGGTCCCGGTTAACTCTTCATTCCAACTTCCCTTATTTGACGTACATGTCGAGAACGGTGAATTCAGCTATCCAACCGAGCACGAGCACGGCGTTTAAATGCAGACAGGTGTTTGTGCATTTGAGCGTTCCCATCAGACTGTTTTCGGACTGCAAATAAAGAGGCCGATCCGGTACAAAATACATTTGATCCAAAACCAGGCAGGTGTATTTGTCTGTCTAGGAGAGCGTATCCACTCACTCAGCAAGTTGCCAGAAATCTGATCACACAAGAAAATTGGACATTTTACATACAGTATCGTTGTGCCATGATGGGAACTCACTTGACGAAATAAACAGGAGTAGTGCAGCACCAGGGATTCAATCAATTCCAGTCCGAGTGCTCGACTGAATTCCGTGATTCCTGTCAGCCACGTCAATGGTTCATCACTGAGTAGAGCACAAATATCCTGTACAAAAGCGGGGGGCAAGAACGGAGAGGATGGAAACAGATCTGTCAGCATAAGAGAGCACACTGTTCTACTAAACATAACCCGGACGTATTGAGTGTGGTGTACTTAACGTACTTCGGTGCTCTGATGCGTACACGGGAACCCTCCCCCCTCCTCCCCCCTCACACACACACACACACTCCACCCTGGTAAAGAAAGTTTTCATATTGGACGAAATGAAAGATCGAACGTGATAGGAAGAAAAGACCCCCGGTTAAACATCATTCACATGCAAAGGTACGGGCCATACACATCCAATGATTAGCAAAACCGGTAACGTGATATAAACAAAGAATAAAAGGAGTCCAACGCCCGGACGGGACGGTGGATATACACTACTAATGAGCTCTAATAAAAGCGAAACTCGATTCTAGTACTTCCAAGTGTATGGTTCAGTGGATTGTACGTGGGTATCATGTCCGAAGGATAATCAGTTCAAATCGATTAATAAATGTTCAGGCAAGACGGTACATGAGGTGGACACACTTGAGGCGTCGTTCGCAGCCTAACACGCAAGATGGAAAAAAATTGGAGCGTTGAGCCAGTTACAATTACATTGTTCTACCCGACTCTGTGAATCAAAAAAGGAACAAACGGCGGGTGACCTGGCGCGAATCTGGTGAGATTCGAAAACACGTCCCCTGGAGCGATTATTTGGGGATCTTCATTACTCTGACACCACCTCCAGTCACTTCTACCAGAATTTCTCCTTTGCTCGGATATTTTAACCATTTAAAACTCAATTCTCGGTTTTGCATGTTCAATAACTATTAGACTGATTTGCGTAATCTGCCTTTAAACACGGCTGGCCTTTTCTTTTCATATATCTCATCCATAAGGTTTCCCAGAGCAAAGCGGGTGAACTGAAGTATTCGCAAACGGAGTCTTCCGCACAGATAAAAATTATGGACAGTAAATGATAGCTTTAAAGCATAAGTTAAATTTAGAGCATCATATTTGAATTAGCTCATTAGATTCTTTACATGCATTAGGCACTGCTGATGACTTTGGGTGAGAGTTTCAATCTTTGGGAGATCAATTCTCCATCGGTTAAATGCGTGTACATGCAATTAAATATTTATGATGACCGAACAAAGGCACTGAAAACTTGTTTCGAATCAAAGAGGATGAAACAGCCGTCCAATGCGCTTTGTCGCTCACCACAAATACTTCTATCGCAGACAAAATAAATTGTTCATAATTTGATTTTAGCTACTAGCAAAAGCGGAGTAGTATGGTACAAAGCACAATTCTGCGATTTTTGGGAACGTAGAGCAACCACATTGGCGAAAGAAATAGGGATTAAACCAAATTAGTGGGCTAAGGGAATAAGAATTCTTTCAGAGTAAAAGAATAATTGATTTCGTTTAAGAATATTTCTCTACAATGTCGAGTTGACAGAAAGGACTGTCGCGATAACAAAAGCCCATGAGCAACGATCCGGAGTTTGATGTAGTTTCGATTTTATGCACGAAAATTATCTAACTACGATTCGTTCCGATTCATCTTTAATTTGTCGTCAATAGTGTGACATTCTGTTTATGTTTAATTGTTCTATTGCTATTGACCGTTGTCAGTAGTCAAACTCTATTCGGACAGTCTTCCCTGTTCCCTGCTTTCCCATTGGTTGACTATAATCTGTCTTTGTCTTGGCGGCCGCTCATCTTGGTTTGTTTACTGTTTGCTCTGACCACCACACACTGGTGCTGCTTGTTGGACTGGTGCTGATCAAATTACTTCGAATTTAAGTTTCCTTTCGATTTCGACCTTCTGGTTTATCATACCGCATAACGTATTGTTTTATCATTGCAGAACCACCAAAGACAAGAATCTGAGACGTTCTGACTTACTTCCGATATTGATATTGACCTCGGGGTGCATATATTCGACCAAAGACTAACAAAGTACCGTACATACAAATCGCCTATCAACAAATAGGATGGCGCAATCCACAGCAATCAATCACTGATTGATTGATTCCTGACCGGTCGATGATCTCGTTGAGCCTCTGAAGCGGTATTGTTGCAGAAACCATAATACCTGGAAATCTGGTTGTAATAACACATTGAGGCTCGTATTCAAATATTTTCTCTTAATCATCGAGGCAACTTCTGATAGACAAATGCAAGTAATGGATGGAGAATGAAGTAGAAGAAGTGAATATAGAAGCGATAAAGGTGCCATCATAACCTAGAGAGTTGTACAAGATGCACTGCCAATATAACCATGGATTAAAATAGTAAGACAAAAGCAGAAAAAAAGCAATCAGCTTTGGGTGCGAAATAACACCTTTTTGTTTACTCCATGCAAATTGAAACCTTTTCTTTCTTTCTCTTTTTGAGATTGGAAACATGATGCGAAGCTGGCATACACAGCCTGAGAAGCTCGACGTAAGCCAACTCATACTTGACGCTCCCAGCAGAACACGTGGTGTGACTAGTCAGCGGTGGAGAAACAAACTTCAATTAAGATGCATTCATTCGGTTTTGACTAACTAATTGCTATCGCAAACCATCTCAAGGGATCATCATGACAGTTGACGCTTCACATTACTGTTACTCAATCACATTAAATAATAATAGCAATAGAGCACCACCATATAGGCACACACACACACAAGTTCACGGTATGCACGCACGCACACACACGCAACCTGATTTCAGTACTTACAATGAGGCGTCACACGAAGTCAGTCGATAGCAAACGACAGATGACGCCAATTCTGGTGGCTTGTTTCAGCACCACTGAACTAAGTTAGTTCAGTGATGACACTTACCACGGCAGCCTATGGAGCACAAAAAGTGAAACACCCTAAGAACAACAACTTAATCATTCTCAATTAATGTTTAACGCATCCGAAAGTGACAATCATGAAAGAGATCTGTTATCAGATACTGACTAGCCTCCCCCACCCGACTTTTGTTCTCACTGTGTAAGGGGTAGGAAAGAGAAGAGACCTGGAGTGAACGGGAACAGGGAAAAAGTTGATTTCTACTTCTAAAAATGGAGGCCACAACTTCTCTTGGAACAAGCTACTCTTCAGGTGTACTGTCCGCACGTGACTCGCATTCGGTCTCCTGGTGGCGAAAAACGAAAGAAATGCGCATAGCCACCGAGCTGAGGCGAACTGTTGATTCGTAGACGCGGTTAAACGCCACTTTCATCAGGGACAGGAGCAAGTTGGTTACTCGAAGCTTCGCAAGTTAAAAAAAANAAAAAAAAGCATGCATCGATGAGCACGGAGTGCAAAACCAAGAGCGAAAAAACCTATTGTGAAAATGGATTATTAAAACAGCACTCTTTCTTTTGTTAATTTGTTTACATGGTTTCTGGTGTTAGGTCAAAACCATGGTCACACCATTCTAGACAGGGGACCTGATATGGATCTTTACATATTGTGCGAATTAGCTGACCCAGCCACGGTGCAGCTATATACCACGTGAATGGGATGGTAGTTAAGGGGATCCGAGTAGTATGATCAATCATTCTGCCCTCACGTTGTATGGGAATAAATAACAGTGCAACGCGTACAAGATCGAAGAAACGACGAATGGATCAACGCCACGAGTCGTAACCAACAAATCGAATGGAAGAACTATTAAATCTTAACAAAAAATGGAACTTATCTAAGCTGAAAAGAATTATGAAGGTTTGAACTATTTTTACCGCAGTGTACACGCAAAACGCTATTAAGGTGATTCATTTTCAGACCTATCTTCCGCAACCACTGCACCTAGATTCGCGATTCCTGGAAATGATGAAAGTGGATATCATCACGACAGATAATTCTGATTTCCATTGTGTAAAAGTGGATGTATCCATGACAAAGTCTATTGCGGATGTGAAATGCTGTTACGGCTACTTTGGGCGATAGGTAGGCTAATACCCGTTGTTTTCCGCATTATCCGACTGCGTCAAAGTTTGATGTACAGTGGGCAATGGTCACCGCCACCAAAGAGCAGGTTGCGTCGCAATGGATGGATGTTTCGACAACGATTGCTCTTAGATGCTAACACTTACAAAGACTTTGGGAAACACAGGAGAAGAATTGCAATGACCAAACATAAAAAACAGCAGTTCATAAGTCTTTGGTTAACCCAGCTGAACATGATTCAAAAGAAAATCGCTGGGAAAGGGGAAGAAGTATGTAAGAAAGCGAAAAGCAGACTGATAAGGATCGCTTGGAGCCAAATAACAAATAGGATAAAGTTGAAATGATAGGTGTGTCAACAGACGTAAGTGTCAGAGGGATGGAATGGTTAACTCAGGATCATTTACAGCACTAGAATGTATTGGATGGAGTACCACATTGGGTGGAACGAGGTTTGGAACAGAGTAATTCTCAACCAGATTCAAATTGTTCGGTATGGGTCAGCCGGCATACTGCTAGCACAATGCCAGGAAAGAATCTAAGGATCTCAGCATCACACAATTATAGTGATGGAACTTTAATGCTATTAGGTGTGACTGTCGGTGATGGAAAACCTGAGTTGGAAGCTTCAGAAGACACCCAGACAGTACAATCAGACTGATAAGGTAAAGCCCATTTTTTCCTAGAGAAGTCACTATTTTCCTTTCTTGTTCCCCATTTTTCTACTTATTTTTCATAAAATTTGAATAAGCTCAGCTTATACTACCAATGCTTGCCCCTAATTGGTCCACTTTCTCATACCATTGTACGTTTGAGTTGATTTTCAAGGTCATTGTTGGCCGTCCCTGTTTCCACTCGGGGTCTGCCCAATCTCGTGTCCCTTGGCTCACGGTCCAAGGCTTATCTGGTCGTATCGTTGTCCGTTCATCACAACAGATACTTCGAAACTCTTAATGATTATGCTGCTTCCACCATCCCTTCATGGCCGAAAATAATACGATTTTCCAAACAATATCACTTGCATTTACGCCTACCACTTTGTAAAATCGCAGTCACCGTTGCACCGCATCAGAATACGCAACTGGCTAGTCCGTGATCATGATTTTAAATCCAATGAGTGTTTGAGCAGAGGCGTGCATGGGAACGATTAATTTTACACTGATGCGGAGCTAAAACTAGAAATCATAAGTAAGTGAAAAAATTGGAGGTGAATCATATTTCGGCAGTTTAACAAATCGGTAAAAAGACATCATTATTTTGTCCTGCGATGGTAAGAGAAAGTGAATGCCATCAATATCAACAAAATCTTCTTTCTGCACATAACATTCAGTGGTTTTAGAAACTTTTCACACTCCCAAAACACGTTTGATACAATGAACTAGGGATGGCAAGCTTGATGAAAAATAGTCATGATTTGGATAGTACTCTAAATCTTTTGTAGTTGTCCACAAAATCACGCATACACAAAGGAAAATCTCTGAGATAAGTGGGAGAAGTAGAGAGCCTTAAAAATACTACACGCATTACATACCCACTTGACTGTTTTCGACTACCTCCCGCTAGAGAATAGAACGGCAGTGTAGAAATTATTTAGAATTTGGTGGAAATAGGATATGGAGCGGTGTTCCCGGCAGTTTTACTGCTCGGTCATTCAGTCTGGAGTAGGAGGTTGGTTAACGGTACGTCATCCGGTCTTTTCTGTTCCAAGGTGCAACTTTAGACTTTGCTCACCCAAGTACGGTCTGCAAGGCAGTAGGGTTATTCCAGACGAGCCGGTGGCATGCAGTATGAGCCAATAAACTGAAATTCAAGGCCCTATGGCCGGCCATGGTACAGAGGAAGCCGTCATCCCATCCCGAAGGCAAATTTGTGCCAACAGAGCAATAAAAGCTAGAGGAAGACAACAGCCAGATCACATAGCTGAAACCTGGCAGTGAGTTCTTGTTGATGCTGCTGACTAGAAAAGAAGGGTTTAGTCGAACACGAAGGAGAAAACATCCGAGGATATCAGAACGTAAACACAGGTGGTGGTGACGATTAGATTCAAATAAAAGTGTCAGTACAAGAAAAACTGAAAGCCTTAATAAAGCTGAATATCTCTACCAGGGAGATACAACAGGTAATACAATGCACGTCACAACTTCAGTACCGGGAGATGAGACAAAATTCACAAAAGAGAACCTGTGACAAGCGAGAGCTTTAGATAGGCAGAAAGCTGAGTTACATGGACTGGTCTGAGGAGCACATTGGTCTTTAACGAGAAAAGGTTTCATTTGGACAGCTGCGCAGACTAGAAATACCTCAAATCAAGGACATTTGACGATGGCCCATTCACGGTTTCGGCAGCGTTCTCATCACAGGGGAAATCAGAGCTGCTTATTCTGAACGGTTCTCAAACTTGAACACCATTTAAGCCTTCTTACTATTTAATGTTCCCAAAACATCATGCTGAGGCCCGTTTTTCAACGTCTCGATGCACACACCATACCCGATTAAATCATGGGTTTTACATAGGGATATAAAGTTACTAGATTCATCTACATACAGATCAGTTCTGATCAATGATGAAATTAAACGAGGCTTTATTGTATGAATGAGATAGAAGAAAACTCACTCTTATCTCTTGTGAAGAGTACACACCTTACTACATAATTTTTACCAGAACGCATCGGTAAGTGGCCATCGATTATTAAGCACTACCTGCAGGGCTTTCCAGTTAGTTCGGTTGCAGTTCATTCGAAAAAAAATGGCAATAACTGTGTATCCCTGATTTATGTATAAGCTGACCAAAAGAGACTGCGTTACGAGAAACGAGCGAAAAAATGATAGAAGAATGATGGAACCGAAAACACCAACTAAAACTCACCTGAAATAATCGATACGCATCTTTCGATGCTGAACTGAGGTTCATGACGTTCACCGGGGCAACATCCTCCGATCGTACTGTGAAATACAGGGAGAATGAAAACGGTCCGAAAACAGACAAAATAAACTTCAACCATCATTGTAGATAACGATAACGATTGGGAAGCCATTTAAACATTATCGCCTGTTATTTTTCAACACTTATTATTACACCCTTTAGTGTGCTAAACAGCAGAATGGAGAAAGCCCTATAATCACAGAGACCTGCGCCTCAGCGATAGGAACCGGTAGCCGTAAATCCCGGGGCTTGGAATGACGTACCACATAACATCCCGATAGGTAAGGCACGGTACTGAACTGGACGACAGTAAAACTGCCTACCACCAAAGTTTGTTGGCGGTGGCGTGGCTCGAACCTCGGACCGTGGGGTCCAAAGAACGCCGCTGACAGTGACTGAACCACGGCGCCACTACCACCCATTATCATAGAACAGCTAATATGGTAGCAAAAAGCGCGGAGCTGCATATGAAAAAAGATGATAAAAAATAGAATACCTGGCATGAGGGTATGAAAACCCTAACCAGGAAACTCGGTCATATAGGTTGTGTTAGGCTCCCTGGATGGGGACCTCGAGATCATGGTAACCGGTGGTTTGAGACACTGGGTGATATGGCTGATTGTCGCACATAGTGGCATTCCTGCATCCACGCATTATTCTTGCGATCTTATTTCGTGTGAATTCTCTATTCTCTTTTTGAATCTGCTCGCAACATTCCGTTCTTCCTTCTGCTCTTTTATCCAAATCAGCAGCCAAAAGACAGCAACGAAACTGGCGTACGAAAGTGCATGATTAATGGTTGTAAAAACTGACTGAAATGAGAATAACACAGCTTAAGAGAAATAGTATACATCAGCTGGAGTAACAACTGGATTTCTCAGCGTGGGCCTCTACCGCAGTGGTTTAGTCGCTGTCACCGGCGTGCTTTAGACCCTATGGTCCGAGGTTCGAGCCCCGCCACCGCCACCCGACTTTGGTGATAGGCAGCTCTGCTGTCGTCCGGTTCAGTACCACACCCAACCTATCGGGGCTTTATGTGGCTTACCACTCCAAGTCCCGGGGCTTAGGTTACCGGTTTCCATCACTGAGCAGCAGGTCCTCGCGATTATGGGGCTCCACACCGTCTGCTATTCATCACACGAAAAGTGTGTAATAAAAATCAACGCATGCATAGCTGAGTTCAGAGATATCCAAGCAGCCGACTCACCCTGAGGCAGGAGAGAGTCGCATAAAGGTAAAAGTGGGCTGCCCAGAGGTCTTGTGTTCGAATCCCACCAGCACCGTCCATTTCCCCATTATATTTTTTATTACACACACTTGTGTGGCGAATAGCAGACGGGGTATTTCGAAAACTCATGAGAACCTGTAGTTCATTCATGGAAACCGGCAGAGAACTTGGGGTGGAGGGGGGCAAACCACTGAAGGCTTTGCTCGCTTAGGCGTGGTACACAAGACTAGTTTTCGTATGATATTCTCCAAACACAGCCTCGTTCCCATGCTTTGTTAATAAACTCAAAAGTTCTTTGAAAAACTTAAGTCCGGTATGGTGAACAAAAGAATCAGACTATGGAGACATAATGGCAAGACTCACATAGACAATCACTTTTGATTCCGGACATTTTATCCTCACTGGACAATTCCTCTTTCATAACCCGATCAAATACGGCACTGGCGCACTGGCGAACTGCTGCAGCAGCTGTATTGACGGTGGAGGGTGTTTTGGATGCGTGCAACCGCAGACACAAAGTAAATGCCTAGACAACGGAGACAGAAAAAGACGGATCGTTTGAACAAATAAACAAATATTGGTGAACGAAGTGCATTCCGTTTGAATAACGTATACAGTATGAAATTTACTAACGCTAAAAATCTGAAAGTTATTTACGAGTGGAATGAGCGCAAAGAAAATTCTGTTATCTAGATGCCATTGAGTATGCCAGACAGATAGCTGGCAGCACTTGATCATTCAATGGAAAAGAACCGCTTTTTAGCTTATGGCCAAAAATCCGAACAATGCATCTTAATCCCTCAATGATTAATCAGTGAATCAGAACATTCTAAGGTCCGGTTTCAGTTTTGACAGTTCTTAACTAAGCAACTTATGAGACAGTTTTGGTTGCTGTCTTTTGGATGTCTATTTGGATAAAAGAACAGAATGAAGATTGAGATGTTGAGAGCAGAGTCAAAGAGAAGACAAAGAATTCATACAGACTGGGTGTGCAAGAATAATGAGTAGATACACGAGCGCCACAGCCATATCACTGAGTACCCCTGACCACTGGTTACTACGACCTCGATGTCCCCATCTAGGGAACCGAACGCTACATATATGACAGAGTTTTCTAGTTAGGGTTTTCATACCTCATCCCAGGCCTTAGTTTCACCGCCCTTGACCCTTTTCCACCCGCTTTCAGCTTCGGCAAACAACGTGCCATGGCAATCTATTTGGTGGCATGCGCAAAACAAGTCCCAACCAGCGCAATGTATGAAGGTTGCCCACTTGCTCTGGTGAGCGACTGTGATTACCTAAAACTCTTAGCCTAAAATTAGCATGGCTTGTCCGGTTTCCTCGTGCTATGCGGCGGTGACAGTGATGTTGGAACAGCGAGTCTATTTTTATCCTGTTCCCGCAATGACCAAGTCTATGCACAGTAAAACAGCACTCACCGAAATGCTGCATCATAAACTCGACCCTTCACAGACAATCAGTGAAACTGTACCTTAAGGTAGTGTGATGGTTTCCGGCCTTCTATGGCCCTGTGAGCTATACACGACGCTCCTCACGGCCGCACATGCAATCATGCCTGGAAGGTCAACTGGTTCTCAGTTCAGTTTGTACAACCATTAACCATGCACTTTCGAGCGCCGGTTTTGATTGCTGTCTTTTGGCTGCCCATTTGGATGAAGAATAGGAGAAGAACGGGAAAGTTGAAAGTGGAGTCGAACAGAAAATAGATACGTTCATTGGTCTAAGGTTGCGAAGAAATTGAGAAGATGCACGAACGCCACTGTTTGCGACACCCAGCCATATCACTCAGTGTCTTTAACCATCGCGTACGATCATCCCGAGGTCCCCAGCCAGGGAGCCTAACAGGACCTATGTGACCCAGTTTCGTGGTCAGGGTTTTCATAACCTCGTGCCAGGTCTTAGCTTGACCAACCTTGGCTTTTCTCCAATCGGTGTCTCTCTCGGCGAACATCGCTCGCCGTGGTAACCTATCTGACGACATGCGTAACACATGCCCCAACCAACGTAATCTATGGAGATCGACCACTTGCTCCAGTGGGCGACCGCGGATACCCAAAACTCTGCGTCTAACCTCAGCATTGCTCATCCGGCTACCCAACCAGATTCGTGCAATGCTGCGTAGACACCGACAGTCTGTCTTTATCTTGTTTTCTTAATGGCCAAGTTTCTGCACCGTATAGCAGAACTGGCCGAACTGTCGCGGCATACACTCGACCCTTCATAGAGAGCCGGATGTCGCGACGGCGCCACA